CCTGATGCTCTAACTGTCTCATGTGTACATTTCAAAGTTTTATTCCAAATTGGCCATAAAGAAAAAGTTGCCTGAGAAAATGAAATCAAAGATTTCCTCTTGGAAGAGAACCTTCATAGGTAATGTGGAGTAACAGCAATGAAAAGGAAGGTCTGGTTACCGATTACAGGGTTAGTTTCCAGTCAAATTTCAGCTTTGACTGTCTATTTAAACATCATGCTGTTCTCCCAAGATGACAGCTGTGGGAGGGAGGGACTTTCTTGAAAGCTTATAGGAAAACAGTTCAGAGTTCAGCTCTAGTATCAGCTTTGTTCAATTCTCTTTTTTCTTAGTGTGATGTGACACTTTTCATGGGATTGAAAATTCACATTTATTTATTTATTTATTTATTATTTTGGGAGGGGATACTGGGGATCAAACTCGAGACCTGGTGCTTGCAAGGTATTTTTTTAATAAAATTTTAAAGGCCCTCTTCTCTGCCATTTACCCTACAAAGTGCCATTGCATGGTGTTCCCCATCTTCAGGCAAATTTGTAACATCCTTGGGGTTCTTGACAAATCACACATCATTCTTTATTCTTTCGTAACATATATTTTATTGAAATTGAGCTCTTTTTAAAAATCTAAATGAATTTACTTTTTAAATAGTCATTATGTCACCACTGCAAATAAAGAACTAGTTTCCTTGGCCATAAATAGAAAATAATCATAAAATAAATACCATAAAAATAAAATATTGATTTCAGGTAGAGGTAGATCTCTTTGCCTGCCAAAGACTTTGTGCCTGAGATCTGATCTCTCTTCCTTGTAAAGGAAATATGCTAACATTAGAAAATAGTTACAGATATACTGGTAACCAGTGAGATTCCAAAATAACTGGAATAAATTGGAAAGGTATAACTTTCCCCCTAAGTGAACTGACATTACCCAGTGCTCAGTCCAGCAATGCTTTAGATCACCTCATGCGCCCAGAGAGCAATGGTTCCCAACCCTGCCCCTCTTCACAGTTGCTAGGAGGCTTGTTAAAATGGACTGCTCATTCTGGAGGTCTGGCTGGAGCCTGAGAAAATGCTTTTCTTTGAAAGTTCCCCAGTGCCAATGGTACTTCTACTCTGGAGAACACCTTCTGAGAACTGCTGCCCTGCTTGCCTGTCTCTCTTTTTAGGAATAGCTGGACTGGGGAAGGTGGGCAGGGGCAATCCAGAACCACGGTAAACCCCACACAGGTCCATTCTGTTGTTTTCAATTCTCTCAAAGTTTACCAAGCCAGGGCTAGCACCCCTGAGGGCAATGTTATAATCTCCTGAACCACTTGCTTCGCCCACCAGTAAATCTGAGCCACACTTGTGGGCTCCAGGACAAAGTTTTCTGACCTCAGTCACACTTCCCATAATTTCACTCAACTAGTGGAGAAGGAAGTTGTGAGAAGCCAAACTATGTTCTGGGGAAAGTTCCTTTATGAAACTTCCTGGGAGTTTAATTCCAGATGACAAATGATAAAATGCAGTTAAGAAGCACATCAAGTCTTTCATGACACCAAACCAAACAACAACCAGAGAAGAGTAAGAGTTAGCTAAACTCTAGGGGCAGGTAGGTAAACAACTATGAAATTTTACAAGCCAGGATTCAGAAAGTCAATACCTGCTCCTGTAGAAGATGTAGGTTGGTGTGAAATGCATCTCCAGAGTCAGTGCTCACGTATGTGTGAGGAGAGAAGAGCCCACCCACAAATCAAGCCGTATTCATCTGTCTGTTTCTTTCCAGTGCTTATCTCCACAGAGGCATATTTTTAAATTTAGAGATATAAAAAGACCCTTACCTTCCCACGTACAATCCTGCCGCGGTAGAAACCAGCACTTCCCACTGTTGCTGCTCTTGTTCTTAGCCCTGCACCCACACGATCATCATGGCGGCCACCACACACCACCAGCTGCAGTCCTGTCGCGGGCTGTGTGTTTGATCTTTTCGTATCGTGTATTACACTGCAGCAAACATGTTTGCACTCATCATCACTTCACCTGCCATTATTTTCTCAGAATAAAGTTCTGTCGCGGGCTGTGTGTTTGATCTTTTCGTATCGTGTATTACACTGCAGCAAACATGTTTGCATTCATCATCACCTGCCATTATTTTCTCAGAATAAAGTTCCAAAAGTGAATTTCTCAGTCAAGGGGGAAACATCTTTTTTCACAGCTCTTAACACCTATTGCCAAATTACTTTTAGAAGCCATATAGTTCTATGTAAGCATGTTATTTGCACCCTCACTAGAGTTGGATATTATCTATGTACACATTATAAAAAGATGTAAAGCATTGTTTTTTTGGTACCGGGTCTCAAACGCAGGACCTTACACCTGCCAGGCAGGCATGGCACCACTGAGCTAAATACCTGACCCATAAAAACACTCGTTTTTATTTTAGTATTAGCGTGTCTTTAAAATGGCTGGAAAGTTCTTTCCCCACTTATTTATTTACTGGTTATAATTTACATTTGTGAATCATTTGATCATGACAACTAATTCTGGAAAATAAATTACCCAGATGCACTGAGTTTAAATACCCAGCATGATACGATGTCTTAGTTTCCATTCCCTGCTCCCTGTACCTAGACCAAATCGGATGGCATGAACCCACTCATTCTCTTATTCTGTAATATTTACTGAGCACATGTGCTACGCCAGCTGTTCTGGATGCCCGGGACAAGGTCAACAGACAAATAAACCAACAAAAAGTCAAAGTCCTTTCATACTGTAATGAAGGCTCTGGAGGAAGCTGACTGGGACTGAGTGGGGTGAAGCGGATGGAGTAGCTCATTTCAGGTGGTGAAGGAAGCTCTCTCCTGTCTTCTTCCTGCCTGACTGGTTCCCATGCCTTCCTGTGACTGCACTGAGAACAAAATCTCTACTCTTTTGTGCATACTGTAAGACCCTGTGAGACCAGGCCTTTCTGACATCCCCTCCTCCCAATCTCTTTCTAAATCATGGTGCTTCTCAAATACACAAAACATCTTCTATCCTCTCGGCCTTTGCACTACTACTGCTGCCTGAAATGCTTTTCTCTCTCTCTCTCTCTCTCTCTCTCTCTCTCTCGCTCTCTCTCTCTCTCTTTGGTACTGGAGATAGAACTCCGTTCCTTGCACTTGCAAGGCAGGCAGCAGCGCCACTGAGCTAAATCCCCAGGCCCTGAAATTCTTTTGTCTTGATGTTTGAACAGCAGGCTTTTTCTTAATTTCTTTTTTTCTTTTTTTTTGTGGAAACAGGAATAAACTCAGGACCTTGCACTTGCCAGGCAGACACGGCACCACTGAGCTATATCCCCCGCCCCTGACCAACCTTTTTAAAGGAGCACCTCCTGTCTCAGAAAGTCCCTATGCCATTGTTGCATTTTATTCCCTTCATAACTTTTATCACTCTCTGAAGTAATTGTATTATCTGTTTTCTTCCAACCCCCAGTACTCCTCAGCTCCTAGAAGCTCCCAGAGAATAGAGACGGTCCCTATTGTGTTCCCTGCTTCGTGTTGTACAAAGATGCCTCAAGTACCTGGTATCAGTTAAACAGCCACCTGGACTTTGTTCGTGCAAAGTGACCACCAAATGAAACATTCATTTCAGTGCCAGAATTGCAGATTGACTTGTCAAAACATCATCAATTAAATATCTGAGTTGAGAAGATTGCTTTTCCACAAGCCATTTCTCTAGGAATGGTTTCCTGAATTAGAGAGGGAAACACTGGCTAGCCTTACTTATTATTTAAATATGATACAAATAATTAGTATTATGGAATCTGGGAAGGTTATACTTATTTGTCTATCAAGGGGCTAGAATTAGTGAGAAGCACATAGGGCTTTAAAAGTATCCTAATAGTTGATCCTATAGGCAGAAAAAATTCTATGGGCTTCATAATTCAATCTTGATAGATATTTTAGGTTTTATGTAATCCTCCAGAGAGTCTAATCACAGTATCATTTTGAAGAACTAAAGTAACTAAAATGGAGTGCTTGGCAGACCAAATCCCAATCCTAAAAAGCCCAGTCTCCTCTTGGTGACTTCCAGTGTTTTCCTGTGGTCACTGACCTCCAAATGAAGCTACAGCCTCTTGCTTTAGTTCTCTGTGGAGGAGCAGGTGAGTACTGAGCACCTCTATTTGGCCAACTTGGGATTCCCATATTCCAACCCTAAACAGCTCCAATGTAGCTCTCATCTGTTTACCCAAATAGTCAAACACTGACTCAGATGAATGGACATTTGGTTTCAAGCCCAGTACCCCAAAGAAAAAAGAAACACAAACAAAACCCCTGTATTAACAATCAAGCCCCATTTGAATCATTGATAAGATCATAGAAAGAATCATTGATAAGATCACCCTTGAAGATATTCTGGCCATGTGTTGTGGTGCATGCCTATAATCCCAGCACTTGGGAGGCTGAGGCAAGAGGATCTCTGCAAGTTCAAAGCCAGCCTGGGATACATAGTGACTTCAAGACCAGGCTGAACTACATGGAATGACCCTGTCTTAGGGGATAAAACAAAACAAAACAAAAAACCTCTTGTTAGTTGACTCTGTGAAAGTCATGTATGTATGAAATCTTTACTATAAGCAAATGGGAGGGCCAGGGATTTAGCTCAGCTGTTTGGTGGCCTGCCTTGCAAGCACAAGTACCCGAGTTCAATCCCTGGTACCCCCCACAAAAAAATGGGATCTAAGTTTTTGCTTTATAGATAAATATTTAGAATATTGTGAGGTTCTGCTAATAAATATCACTTCCTTTTCCTGCTTGGGTTTTAACCATATGAGAAAACAAAGAATATGACAAATGGAGGTAAAAATACTACTTTTACTGAGGAGCTTCTTTTGAAGAATGAGACTTAGGGCTTCCTAACACTGCACGCTTACCTTCCCAGGGGCAACGGTCCTGACCCAGGTTCTCTTGCCACAAGAAAAATGTAGCATCTGAGGATTCTCAATTGATTCTTATGAACTGACATGCTATCCTCACTTAGGATAAATGAAAACACCACACTGGGAAGCCAAGAGATGGCAGGAAGGAGCCCTTTCACCCGGGAGGAGTACCAGCAACAAGGAAGAAGCGTTTCCCCAGGTGAGCTGCTGTATGCCTGTGGTCTTGGCAACCCTGAAATGTTGGGGTCCGCTGAGGGTGGAGTCAGGGGCGGCAGAAGAGACAGCAAGCACTGATTCATCTTTAAGACTGCCTGACTCTCTTCTTGCCCATATTTTTGCAGATGGGTCAGGGCACCGGGTGCTGCCAGTGCTCCAACCCTCCCTTGCCATGCTCTTTGTTTAATACCCAGCTGTTGTGTGGACTTCTTGTGTGGACAGCTGTGGTACACATAGGGCGGCATTAGCAGACACAGGTGATATCCCCTGAGCTGTACTCCTCTGATATCCTGGACCTAAGCAGGAAAGGCCAGTAGGCTGCTTTTCCTGATTTAGGAGAAGGGATAGAGGACCCCGTGTTTGAGATGTTGCAGCTAATTACCTGAACTTAGTTCACTTTTTCCAATGTTCCTAGGTCCTTGGTTAGCCTTTCTTAAAGTGAATTTAGTAGGCTAAAAACGCCATGAAACAATGGCAGAAATCCAGAAGACAACTAACTCAATTTAAAAACAGACCAATTATTTGAACCTATACTTTACAAAATAACAGCAGTAAGTGGCTAATGAACATATGAAAAGATGCTCAGTCCTTTGTCATCAGGAGTCGCAAATGACATGGCCAGCATTATAGACTGATGGTACCAAGTATTGTCAAGGATGGGGACAACTGGAACTCTCACATACTGTTTACAGAATGTAAAATTATACAAACATTAGGGAAGTAGGTAGACAGTTTATGAAAAAGCTGAACTTATACCATCATACAATGCAGTCATTCTGTTCTAAATATTTACTCAAGAGAAACGAAAGCATATGTCCACATAAAGTCTCGTGCATGAATATTTATTACGCTTTTACTTGTAACAATCAAAAGGCAGAAACAGCCCAAATGTCCATCACCAGATGAACTGACAAACCATAGTACATTCATGCTGTGAAATACTATACAGAAACTAGAAATTGTTAATATATACTACATGGGTAAATCTCCAAATAATTGTGCTGAGTGACCAAAACAACAAAATAAAGCACAGTACAACTGTATGATTCCATTTACATAAAATTCTAAAAACTGCAAACTATCTATAGTGACAGAAATGGGTCAGTGGGGTTGACCTCAAAGGACATGTTCCTCTTCTGAGTTGGGAAGGGCTTACCTGTATGTATAAGATCATCCGTGAAATAATGTGATCATCTCCAGAGATGCAGGAAAAGCCTTTGACAAATTCAACATCCATTCATGTTAAAAACCCTGTCAAAAATAAGTGTAGAAGGGCCTTACTCAAACTAATAAAACCCATTCAAGAAAAAACCCACATCCAACATTTTATGAAATGGAGAAAAATTGAAAATGATCCCTCTAAAATAAGGAATAAGATCAAAGTGTCTGCTCTTACCACTCCTCTTCAATATAATACTGGAAACTTTAGCCAGAGAAGTCAGGCAAAAGAAAGAAATAAAAGGGATGACATGGTCCTTTACATAGAAGAACCAAAAAACTTCCCCAGAAGATTCAGAACTAATAAATTTAGCAAAGTGTCAAGATACAAAATCAATGCACAAAAATCAATAGCATTTCTGTACACCAATAATGAATTCACCAAGAAAGAAATCAAGACAGCAATCACATTTATGGTAGTTTCAAAAAAATTAAATACTGGGCCAGGGATTTAGTTCAGTGGTTCCACCGCCTGCCTCGCAAGCACAAGGACCTGAGTTCAATCCCCAGCACCCACCCCCAAATTAAATACCTAGGATTCAACCTAACCAGGGAGGTGAAAGACCTCTATAATAAAAACTATAGTACTCTGAGGAAAGGGTTTGAAGAGGGCATTAGAAAATGGAAAGACATCCCCCTTTCCTTGATAGACAAAATCAACATTATCAAAATGGCCATATTGCCAAAAATAATAAAAAGATGGAATGAAATTTCTATCAAAGTATCAACAACATTCTTCACAGAATTAGAAAAAATAACCCTAATCTGGTTTTATGTTAAACCAGAAGGACCCAGAACAGCCAAAGAAATACTGAGCAGAAAGACCAAAATGGGAGATGTTATAACCCCAGATCTCAATTATATTATGAAGTTATAAAAAAGGAAGAGCATGGTACTAGCACAAAAACAGACATGTAAACCAATGGAATAGAATAGAAGACACAGAAAGAGTTCCATGCACCATTAGCCACCTGATCTTTAACAAAAGGGCTAAGAACATATGCTAAAGAAAATGTATCTCTTCAACAAATCATGCTGGTTAGTCATCCATGTGTAGAGAATGAATAGACCCACATCTCTGACCCTGCACTAAAATCAAATCAAAATGCATCTAAGACCTAGATACAAAAACAGAAACACTTAACGTGCTGGAAGATATATTAGGAAATGCTTAGAGACATGGGCATATATGCAAGGACTTCCTGAATGGAATTCCAGTAGCACAAGAAATACTGCCAAATACCAACAAATGGGGCTTCTAGAAGAGGAGGGGATGAAGGGAGGGCAGGGGCAAGGGGAAAAAATGAGAACCAAGACCTGTCATGTAAAGGTACAAGATCCCAATGATGAATGTAACTGTAATGTATACCTAAAATGTACCAATAAACTCAATGAGGAAAAAAATTAATTAAAAAGCTTCTGCACACCAAAGGAAACAGTTCATAGAGTGAAGAGACAACCCACAGGATGAGAAAACATTTACCAGCTATTCTTCTGATAGAGATCTAATACCCAGAACAGCAGTCTCTACCTTTTTGGCACCAGGGATTGGTTTTGTGAATGACAAAAAAAGCCGAGGGGGTGTTGTTTCAGGATGATTCAAGCACATTACATTTGTTCTGTGATTTATTTCTGTAATTATTGAACTATAATAGATGATGAATTAATTATTCAATTCACCATAGTGTGGGATAACTTCTTTTCCCATTTGGAAGACACTGATGCCCCAAGTGTGTTGCTGATGTCCAGTCTATCTTGTGGTCTTGTCGCTCTTACTGCAAAACAATAACAACAACAACAACAACAAACCCTGGTTCACAAAGATAGAATGTTGGAAATGGAAATCCAAAAAAGTATGGAGATTTGAAATGGTCTCAAACATACTTTTAAGATCACCATCATTTGTGATCTCAAAGAGTTGATCTTCTATTATGGATGATGTCAACTCACCTGGCTCATTCACAGATGGATCAAGATCCATTCCTTCCCAATTCAGAGGTCTTTTGCGGTTGGGAAGTAAATGCTCAAATTCTCTTGAAAGCTGAGCTAGACAATGGCGCCCCGGCTGGAAGAAAAAAATTCCCTGGTTCAGTCTCTTTCGAGATCTTTGCTAATGTTTGAAATGGCAAACAAGTGAAAACGTATCAAAAGATCCTAATGTTCACTCATCTCCCCATAATCCCAGTTTGGCTTTGAATACATCCCCTTTATCTGCTAACTTGAACATAGTTGTTGGTCTCTGAAGTCACAAATTTGAGTTCAATGACCAAGTTGAAACATGACAAGTTTTGCATTATAAGTAAGCAAGTTTGGCATCCCATTCTGTGTCACCAAAATGTGATTGTTTTTCTAAAAGAAATCTCTGGAGTGGCTCTCATAACTCAAAAGTTAGCCACTGATCTTCCCTGTAAATTCTGTCTCATTTCTGTGTGTAAGACAAGCTTTGTGTACTCTGTGTCCTTCTCTTCACAGAACCATGCATGTACTTTAATATGATTGATGATTTTAATCACATCTTCAAAGCATTAAGTTCAGTTGACATTTTTCAGCTAGCCAGCATTTTACTCTGAATGATACAGTGGGTAAACTCACATTCACGACTTCTTTGTCCTGAACAGTGAAGCCAGAAAGCCGCCCAGTCATGCCAGCCACTCCATCCATGCATACACTAACAAAAAATGAACAATACAGTTTCCTGATATTTAATTATCCAAAGACTTAACTAATTCTGCAGCTGTGTTATTGGTTGGCAGCAGCAGTGCACATACCATATCCTCATGCACATCCTCCTGAAAAATAAATCACACAAATCAAGTATTGTTACCTTGTTGTCAACATCAGTAGACTCATCAATCTGGATTGCAAACCACAGTGACTTATTAATCCTCTCCAATCAATATCCTCAATATCCCCCTCTCTAATCAATGCCTCAAAATCCCCTGCTAGTTAGTCAATTTGTCTAGTTATGATGCCAAAGAGGAACACATGCCACAATTTGCACTGTAGCCTTTCCTAAAAGTTCATACAAATGTTCTCAGCAGCAGACAGAATCAGCACTTCACCTATATAGTAAAGGGCTTCTTAGCTTTTTTTTTTTTTAGCTGACACATTTGATGAAGTGGTAGCCTTCAATAATTGCTTCTGTTCTTAGTGTTCACATTTTTTCTTTCAAAAAACTCCAAAGGCTCATCTTTTAATACAGTGTGCTTAGTCACTATGTGGCAAAGCAGTTTTGAAGGTTTCATGGCATTCATGGATATGTTATCACATATACAAAGAAGGCTTGGAGAATATGAGTCATCTGCTGCAATGAACCTATACCTTAAGCAGGACTCCTGGTATTATCTTGTATATGTAGCTTTCATTTCATTGGTAGTCTTAAAGTCTTCTGTCTCATCATTGGGTCTCTCTCACTTTTCAAAGAAGTTCTCCAGTGATGCTTGTTTTTTATTCGTTTTGACAAGAGCTTGTAGGCAAACAAAACTGTGACTGAGAGAAGTGCTTCAGTGGTGAATACAATACTAGGACAATCACACAGAGACTGAAATAAGTGGCAGGTTCTGACTTAAAGCCTCCCACCAGATACATCAACTTACTTGCCACTTACAAGCCTGCCACAAGGTGCAACCTCATTGTGACTTGCCACTCACTGACAGGGTTTGATATGAGTTTGCAAGCAGTTGATGTGCTGTGGTCTCTGTGCAGCAAACCCTCTCTGCTAATGTTAATCTGTATTTGCAGCTGCATCCCAGTGCTAGCATCACT